TATTTAAGCATTCATTGTAATTGTTTCAAGGCTCTTCTATGTTATGTTCACGAATAAACAACTTGTGTTCTACTCTTGAAAGTACTTGTCTTGTCTGATTGCTGGACTGCTGGTATTATAAAGAATATTACGTCCAAAAATACGACTTCCCACATAGTCATTTTACAGTATTTAAATGTAAATTCCTTTAAGATCTTCCCCACCGTGACGAAATCATGGGGCGTGTCACACTACCGGGGTGCGGCACAACTGAATCACCACAGACCACTAAAATCACGTAAAATACGAATTGCCAATATATTACACCGCATTTGCAGTTATATACGGGTGCTTGAAAGCGTGCCTACGTGTACGTTCTTGAGGTCACACAGACGCCAGGCGAGTCAAGTCTGCGTCACAGTTCCTCTTTAAGTAAGCCAAGGACAAATGCTGTTTTGAATAGTGACACCGTTCGTATTTTTAATTACACCGAAATAAAATAAAACAAAACGATAATGTACGAGATATTTAGAATCGAAAAAACTGTTGGTTAGTTAATACAGTCATGTTGGTTCAATCGTATCATCCGTTTCGTCAACCGAACGCTAAAATTCGGACCTGTTCGACAGTGGTTTGCATATGGAACACACTGGTTATTTTTTCTCTGGTCCATGAAACAATCAATCGGGTATTAATAGTGTGTTATTTTAGAATTATTTTTTATTGGGTTCTCTATGATAGATGGTCTAGCATTATCATATATCAAAGTAATGTCACACTTGAGATTGAGCAGCCATACACTTCAAATCAGGGGGGGGGGATTGGCACGAGAGGGCGCCATCCGATTTGAATGGAACGTTTCGACGTCAGTCGTCCGTAGCCCATCGTCAAAGCAACAATGTCCCGTTTACGAACAGATGAAATAATTTCAGCAATTTCTTTACAGAATAATCCTCAACAAAACTTAGAAACATTTCATAGACAACTACAGGCTCCAAAATTATTGTCTATTGCAAAACAATTCAACCGACAACCAGTTTGACGCCACAATTTCTTGCTAGAGCCTGAGTTCTACGCGTGATTTTATTGCGTTCAAAACTGTTCCATTTCAAACTGCGCATGCACACACACTGTGGTTTCTCGAAATGCATACTAATTAGGTAACTTGTCACTGATAAAAGTCACCGAAAACATTTTGAGTGAAATTTAATCGTGCCTCTGCATTCTCCATGAATTTCGTAACTTCCTATGATCATGGTAAAGAGAAAACCTATGCTTACTTTCAACAGTGAGCTGGAGTCTGATCGAAAACGTGTCTCAAAAAATATCTTTACATCATTTTTCCGATTATTTTTTCAGCTCGTAACGATAGAATCAGTCAATTTAGAACTAACATGTATGCTATCGGAAAGCATTTTGGCACAATATTACTGAAAAAACGAGTTTTTCATTGCTCATGAATATTAATTTATGCAAATGAGACGA